CTTCCTGATGTTTATTTTAAATTAATCCTGTTGGGACAGATGTCAGGCCAGAACCTTTGCTGGAGTCACTTCAGTTCTTTGATCTAATTAACAATGGCTCGTGTTTTATAATAAGTCRTTTTTATAATAATTAATTTTTCATGAGGGATGGGATTCATTTACTCTTTGCTCTTTGCCTTTCCCTAGATCCTGAGTTTCCTCCCTCATTTTTCTTCCTTCAATGCTTAATTTCCAAACCACCTTGATGCTGATACATTTCAGGCTTGAAAACRCTGGAAATAACTTTCCAAATATGCCTAATTTGGAGAAAATTTCAGATTAATTGTAYATGTTTATTTATAAAAGCACCAGTAGGATCCTGTTGTGCACACACACGGAATTGAAACATGGAAAAACAAATGGGGTGTGTACATCAGTAATAATAAAACAGGAATGATGCCACCACGATTCATTGACCCAGGATTTCCAGCTGGAATTTGCAGTGGACTTGATGATAATCCCTCAGACTTTCCTTGGGAAGTGCCTCTGGAATASTCAGGAACACGCTTTTTAGGGATTACATAGAATTTAAATAACATGCTACCAAWGATGGCCTGAAGGCACAAAACCTCCCCTTCCTATAAAATCCAGGTTATACTCAGAAAACCTTATAAAAAAGAACAAGAAAAAAATCAGAATATTGAGAAGTTTTCCCCAATACCACAACTGAAGATAGGGCCTGATGATGATCTTGGAGGGCTTTTCCAAAGTAAATGCTTCTGGGATTCTATGAGTCAGCCAGCCTGGACTCCATGCAGGTGGCACCGTTCCTCCTATGTCTGTCTGTCCCCTCCAGCATCATTTTCTCCACGTTTCCAGCCAGATCTCCTCTCATTCAGCTTATCCCCAAAACCTCCCGGTATTCCCCTCAGTTTTCCTGGGGCAAAGCACGTCCTGCACAGGTCATTACCACTCCCGACACATGAATGTTACAAACATCAAAGAGGGCTCAGGCAAACGGGTCTTTATGAGACCCTTTCAATTTATTTTTGCCTTGGGGACAATGGTTTCTGGTGTCAGGGATGAAGTGCCGCAGGTTTTGGTGGTGTTGGAGCAGATTCAGTCCTTGTCATGCTGCCTGTGAAACCACAAAAACATTAATTGGCTACAAATTCCAGCAGGAACTTCACACACACACGGTCACGACTTCATCATAGCCCCGCAGGAGCCGCCTGGGAGCCTCGGGAAGCTCCGTGTAAAGAGCAGCCGATAGACCTGGAATGAGTTAAGAGACTTGGAGACTCTCCTGCGACACAGGTTTGGGAGCTGCGCCGAATTTAATGTGTGTTTGTACTGAGCGCTGGTGCTAAAACCCCGGCTGGCTGCGTGTKCTCCCGTAGCCCTGGGCTCAGAGGGATCGCAGGGATCAGAGATGGGTCAGCGGGAGGATRAAGGGTGCAACAAGGGACTTGTGGTTGTTATTAAACTTGCAAACGCTCAGCCTGGCAATGGGCTTTGCGCATCAACCTGATTTTTGTGGAGGAAGATGTGGGAGCAGGAAAACAAGCGGGAGCGTTGTGCCCGAGTCGCTGTCCCCGTTGCGCCTGCGGTATCGCTGACCTCGCTGCGACCTCGGGCGCAGCTGGAATGTGTGACAGCCCTGCAGCTCCCGGGGAGCGTTGTGTATCCCGGGGGATGTGGATCCATCCATCCATCCGTGCCTGCCCGCCCCGCAGCCTCCGCTCCCGCCCCGCTGGCTGCGCCGCCCCCGGCACCGGGATGCGCTCCGCTTCGCTCGCCGTGTCCTCACCCCAGATCCGGGGGGGAAGAGCTGTCACCGCCTCTGCTAAGCCAGGGGTGCCTGCTGGTTCTCCTGCTAGTTCTCCTGGCACTGAAGAGCTGAAACTCCCGGGATGGCTCCATCCAGAAGCGATTCCACAGTCGTGCCCAGCGGAGAAGAGCTCAGCATGAGGAACTGAGTATGGAACTGGGCTCAGAGTTAAGGCACGGAGCTCAGAGCAAGGTCTTTACAAGTCCAGCCAACTGCATATCAATGAATTTATAACCAGATCCTYCAGCACAAAGTTTTCCTTGGAAACMATGATTTTTGTGTTGTGAGTGAGCCTATTGTGGCCATCTCCTCAGAATTTCTCATCCAGAGTGTTTGACGTTGTTTAAAAAGGCTTTTTTTCTCCAGAGATAAGAAACTCCTCCTCGGTAGTGAGCTGATTGTGGAGCGGCTTCTGTGCTTATCCCCTTGGATAAGAGGCTTTATTATACCAAATTACAGGATAATCTCTGGACATGCAGCCACAGCATCAGATCTCTTCTCCTTTGCTTGTTTTACTTTTTGATCCAGAGCTGCTCAAACCGACTCTGGGGGGTGTTCTCTGATAGGAATCACCATCCTGGTTCTTGTCTGGGAAGTTGGCATGGGCCCAAACTGGTATTTTTTAAAGGAATCTTTTTCTCGCTCTGCTTTTCCAGAGGCCTCACCCGCTTGTCCTTTTCACAGTTTTTCAGACCAAAATAAATACGTGATCTCACCCCAAAGGCCAGAAGAGCCTTGGCAGGGCGTTTGTGATGACATCAGTGTCCAGCCCCACTCTGAGCTGGAAGGACAGGAGCATCYCTCACTCTTTCTCTCCATCCCCTCTGGGAACTGGCCTTTTCCTTGTCACGCTGATACAGATTCCTGATTTCTGACAGCCAAGGTAAGTTCTTCAGCCTTCCTTAAACCTGTGTGTGCATAAATGCTGCAGGGAGACTGGCTGTAATGCAGCTGTATGCGCTGTAATGCAGTTGATATTATAATGTAATATTAAAACAGTAATGTATTTTGATGTTTTTCTGTTCGTGTGAGTAAACAGTGAAGAAAAAGCCCGGAGATTTCCTACTCCAGTTGCCCAGGGTGGAGGCTGTGGTGCTCTTAAGGTGAATATTGGGGTTTGGAGGCATCTTGAAGAGTTACAAAAATCCTCCTTTTATACCTGTAAGTGGTAATTTTAGGGATGAGGCTGCTGCTCCAGCCCCTGGTTGTGGATCATGCTGAGACCTCGGCAGAGCGTTTCCCTGGGAAGGGCTGTGTGGGTTTCCCTTCTGCTGCAGGAGAGAGAACCAAACCCTTCCAACATTGTGGTATGTTGTATAAACTCTTGGGCAAACCACAGCAGCCTGAAGCTGGGTTTCCTCGGTGACATTTTATTTGCTAAATGCGCCTTTTCTGAAAGGGTCGATCTGTCTGGGAAATATATTCCTGTAGTTTCGCACATTCTGAATGTGAGGTGGTTTTTAACTGCTTTGGAAATCAAATTAGTGCTTACTCTGAGTGTTGATGAGGCACATTGAGTGTAACCACAATTAATTTTCCTTGGTGACACAGGGTTTAGCCCTGCAAACCAACCCCCGAACCCTGTGTTTGCTTGGCTGTGCTGGTCCTATAGAGACTCTGCATCTTACCCCATACCTGTGCTCTTCAGACCTGTCCTTAAATCCAAGTTTCCTTTGGAAACCTCCACAGACCTCGTGGGCAGTCTCCTGTTTGTCTGTGTGTCCTGAATGACTGGGTTATCCTATGTAACTGCTCCTGACCTAGAGATATTAAGGGGGAATAGGAACAAAAAGGGTTGAGCAGTGCCAGACAAACATGCCTTTGGAAAAATAAAAACTCCCCTYGGCTGCTTTGCAGTTTGCTGTGATCAGGCTTTTCCCCCAGGAGGAGGGATTGATTTTTGTCTCGGTGACACGGATTATATATGTTGGCACAGCTTCAATTTGGGCTGGTGTCGAGATCAGATCAGGACCTGCCCTCTGAAATGAGAGCAGGAATCTGATAACTCCTCGTGTGTGTGCAGCTTTGCTGGTGGCAGGGTCGGATATCGGTCTCTTCCCAGAGCTAATGCTGTATTTACATCCAAATAAAACCGGGAAATGTGCAATAATCTAGCTGCAGGCTCTTGCGCTGCACTCCAAGTGCTTTGTCTGCCTTGGCTGACAAAACGCTCTTGGCTCCTGATCAAAGGAAAGTAAGTGGAAGCTGGTTTGCTCTTGATGTTAAGAAAGCTCCTGACAGAGAGTCCCTGCAAGGCTGGTTAAGAGCCCAGACCCTGTGGCAGACTCGGGAAACTCATTGAAGGAAAACGCGGGGAACAATGGCAGCGTGGGATGATTTCGGAAAGGGCTCTCCGAGGAAATGGCATCCYGAGGCAATGATTTCGGAAAGGGCTCTCCGAGGAAATGGCATCCTGAGGCTGGGATAGTGCCACACGCATCCAGGGCACGGCCTGGAGCAGCAGGTGAGTGCCCGGGGTCATGGGAGGTGGTGGAGTCCCCATCCCTGGAGTTGTCCAAGGAAGGACTGGACATGGCTCAGTGCTCTGGGCTGGGGATCAGGCACAGGTTGGACTCGATGATCCTGGAGGTCTTTTCCTACTTTAATGAGTCTGTGGTTCTGTGATTAGAGGGATGAAGCAGCTTTGTTCTGGAGATAGGCTGGGAGAAAACTCCAGGGTGACCTCAGAGCCCTTTTCCGAGCACAAAGGGGCTGAAGAGAGCTGGAGAAGGACTTGGGACTAAGGATGGAGGGACAGGATGAGGGGAATGGCTTYCCACTGGCAGAGGGCAGGGTTAGATGGGATATTGGGAAGGAATTCTTGGCTCCGAKGGTGATGAGGTGCTGGCACAGGCTGCCCAGAGAAGCGGCGGGTGCCCCATCCCCGCAAGTTTCAAGCCCTGTTTGACGGGGCTGGGAGCAACCTGGTGGAAGGTGTCGGCGCCCAGGGCACAGGGTGGCACCGGATGGGCTGTCAGRTCCCCTCGGCCCGCGACACTCGGTCACCCCGCGCACCGCGCTCCCCGCCGCAGGGCCCCGGGCGGGGCGGGCTCAGTGCGGGGCGGTCCCAGCGCCTCTTCCGCCCCGCGCCGTCACCGC